TGGCTCGTGCTTGTAATCCCAGCACTTTGGGAGGCCGAGGCCGGTGGATCACCTGAGGTCAGGAGTTGGGGACCAGCCTGGCCAACATGGTGAAACCCCATCTCTACTAAAATTACAATAATCAGCCGGGCGTGGTGGTGTGCGCCACTAATCCCAGCTACTTGGGTGGCTGAGGCAGGAGAGTCGCTTGAACCTGGGAGGTGGAAGTTGAGGTGAGCTTAGACTGCACCTCAGCACTCCGGCCTGGGCAAGAATGAGACTCTGACTGACAAAAATAAAAGAAGGTGTGTACTGAAGATAAGGAAGGGGTTCTAAGACTCAGGGAGTGAGGGCAGGGGAGAGACAGGGATTGGGGGTGCAGTGGGGTGCTAATGCAGCACCAGAGGAAGACTGGAGGAAAACAGAGCCCTTCTCCAACTCCAACTGCTCCTCTGAGTCCCAGGCCACCTGCTGTGATATCATTTCTAATATCCAGGGCAAAAGAGGATCATATTACTCCCAATAAAACAGGGAATATACTCCTTCCCCATGATATTCTTTCTAATATCCATGGGGAGAGGGAGATATTACTGACAAATATCACAGGGGTTGTAAACCTCCGCTGTGATGTTGCTCCTAATATCCAGGAGGGGAGGAAATATTACTCCCGATATTGCAGAGGGTGTACAAACCCACCTGTGATACTGTTTCTAACAAACGGGGGTGGAGGAGAAAATGATATTACTCCTAACATCACCGGGGATGTACACCCTCACTCTGATATTGTTTCTAATATTCGGGGGGGTGATATTACTCCCAATATTGCATGGCATGTAACTCCCCCTCCCCATGATATTGTTCCTAATATTTGGGGAAGAAGAGGTGTACACTTCCTTTCAACATCAAAGGGAGTGTACAACCCCCAGTGATATTGTTCCTAATATCCAGGGGAAGAGAAAATGCTATTACTCCCAAAATCGCAGAGGGTGTACACCCCTCCTGTGGCATTATTCATTCAATACAGATGAAGTGTGATATTACTTGCCATATTGCGGGGGTTGGGGGCACCACCCTGTGATGATACAATTCGTAATATATATATATTATTTTAAATGTAGAGATGAGGCTTCAGTGTTGACCAGGCAGGCTGATTACAAGTGAGAGCCACCAAACCCAGCCCTCTGTATCTTTAATATTATGCCATTAAGTAAAAGGACACCAATAATACTTTGAGCTCAGACTGACGTTTACTGTGGATACATGACCAATCAACATTAAGGGAAACTCCTTTGGTAGTTTGTGGCTTGTTTATATAACAGCAAAAGGATTCTGATAATTTTCAGAAATTAACTGATTTTCCTGATGACTCAGGTGCATAGTGATATGCCTGCCCTTGTATGAAGAAGATTCTATGGTTTCCTCTCCTTTGGCTATCACATCTGTTCATTAGTCAATAGTTCCCTCTTATTTGCTGCACTGTGAAAAAGCAAAGTGGAAAACCAGACGACCAAATTTATAAGGTTAATAACTTTTAAAATTGCAGTAAGCTTGAACACAAGGATAGATCTCTACTTCTTGAAGCTTTGTACAAGTATTTTTCTTGGTTGCTGAAAACTCATTGCTGGTAGATTTGTGTTCATGTTTTCTTTTTCTTTTTTTTTTGAGATGGAGCCTTGCTCTATCACTCAGACTGGAGTGTGGTGACATAATAATCTTGGCTCACTGCAACCTCTGCCTCCTGGGTTCAAGCCATTCTCTTGCCTCAGCCTCCCAGTAGCTGGGATCACAGGCGCATACGACCACACCCAGCTAATTTTTGTATTTTTAGTAGAGATGGTTTCACCACGTTGGCCAGGCTGGTCTTGAACTCCTGACCTTGTGATCCACCAACCTCGGCTTCCCAAAGTGTTGGGATTACAGGCGTAAGCCACCATGCCCGGCCTGTGTTCATATTTTACATGTTTGGTTGAGACTACCATATCTGGTCCCTATATTCATGAAATGTTACTAAGTTTTGGATCATTTGAATGTTTACTATTATTTTTTGAGATGGAGTTTTGCTCTTGTTGCCCAGGCTGGAGAGCAATGGCGCAATCTTGGTTTACAGCAACTTCTGCTTCCCAGGTTGAAGAAATTCTCCTTTCTCAGCCTCCTAAACTGGGATTACAGGTGCCTACCACCAC